GCTGCCAACACGCGGCGGCGTCTTCCAGCGGCGAAAGAAGTTCATGGCCTGCTCACGCGGCATAGGCCCAGCCAAGGCGCTAATCTTAAGGTCCACATTCAGGCGGTCCGACTCGTCTGACTTGTGCTGCAAGATCTATAAATTGGAAGCATTTGTAGATGATTAGAGTTGCAAGCGACAATAGCAACAACAACAATACTAACCGGCGGATCATTGGGCGTAAAGGGATGTCCAACTTGCGGTGGCAGCTGGTTGCCTACAGCGCGCAGCACGGGCACATAGTGAGGCTCCGACAGGAGAAGCTCCAGCTTCTTGATCACCACTATGCTGGCATTGGGTGCACGTTGGCATATAATCTGATGGGAGGGAAGCCGTTAGGCAGGCCTACAAGTGCATATTCCAGTGGGTTACTTACGTCCTTGGGGTGCATACCTTCCGTGTTCTTCAGCGACTTGCACTGCGGATACGAGGTCAGCACCTCAACAACGGCAATGTGCCCGTTCTTGGCGGCGAAGTGCAGCGGCGTCTCGCCACGCCCCTTGTCGGGCATGTTGAGATAGTAATCGAGCAGATTCACATTTAGAGCGGCGCACATTTCGCTGCTGCTCTTCTTGCCCGCATACAGCTGGGTAAACTCGCGATCCGAGACTATCTTCAGAATGAGATCAGCGACGCGTGCCTGATTGACTTGGGCGCAGATGTGCATGGCGTTGTAGCGATAGCCCTCCTTCAAGCTAGTCGGCGTGTCCCCGCTGCTGATCAAATAGCGGGGGTTGTCCCAAACTGTACGCTTGACCCGCTCATAATTGCCAGCCTCGATTTGCTTGCGGAACTCGACAAGCTCTTGCTTAGTGGGCGCCCGGAACGGCGGACGCTCGCCAGTTAGCTGAGTGCTGCTGTTGCTGCCAATGCTATTGGCGTTGCCAACGGTAAGGCTGCTGCTGCTGCTGCTGCTACTGCTGTTGTTGTTGCTGTTGTTCGGCAAGGATAATAGCATGCTCGACATGGCCAATGGGAGACCGGAGCAGGGAGACGCACTCGTGCTGTTGGTGGGCGACGAAGAAAACGGGCTCTCTGCGTTAGTAGAAGTCGATTTGTAGCTCAAGGTTGTGGGCAATTGCACCGGCTCTGCGAAAACAATTGGAGATAAAAAATATAGAAATATATATATTTTTTGTTATTTATGTTTGTTGGCACTGTACGTATGAGTAAGTAGATTTTGTTCTGACATATACTTACTGCTGGAAGGTTTCGCCTTGCCGTAGCGCTTCAGCGACTGAATGCTCTCGAAGCCGAATTGTACGTAGCTCTCGGCCTGTTCACGGTTGGGAAATTCGCGCAGACGCGCCTCCTTGTAATGGCGCAAGACGTCCAGCGCCTTGGATTTCTCCTTGAATATCAGCCAAAGCGGCGAGTCGGCTGGAAAGGATTCAGGGATTTCAGCAAGTTATTTCAACAGTTCGGCTGACGGGCGAGTGAGCGACTGATCGAGCGAATGAAACAAAAACAAATCTGTCAGCAGTTGTCACTCGCTGGCTGTCTGGTCACGCCATCTGTGCGGATAGGGCGATGCCAGACAGAGCAAGAAATGCGCTGAGCAAAACAAACAGCATGCTAAACGGCGAGCGAGTCGCCGAGGTCGCGAGGGACACCGGGAAACAGAAAGCGTACAGCGGACTGCGAATAGCGGGCAACGGACGCTTTTGACGCGGAACAAAACCGTTCGACCACAAAGGGAAATAACAGAAAACAATCCGTGGGCGACGATGCTCGCGCGACATCAATAATGCTCGCGAGAATGTGCGTATGACGCAGCTATTGGCACGCAATTATTCTCTATTATTGCTCTTGTTTATGTTTCGGAAAGACTCTCTGAACTCAGTGGGCTGCTGGGCGAACGAGGCTGGCGATTGGATTGAGGCGCGACGTACATGCCACCTCGACTAGGCGAGCCAGGTCGATTTAAATATGGAAACATCGTCGTGCACTCTTTCTGTTGGCCATCTCAGCAGCTCATACTTATTTAAAATAGAAACTTAAATAAATACAAAAGTGTACTTATGATACATATGTATGTACATACATACATTGGTATATACATACAGACACACATACATACATATATTGCATTTGATGCGCTGGCATGTGGGGCGATCATATGAACGTTATTTGAAAAGGAGCTGCTTTGCTCTTCACTCACTTGGTTTATTTGTATAACCAAAGCACAGAGTCATAAATATTTACTCTGGTCATCCAGCACATATTTGTTTATAGTAATCATAATCAAATAAAAGCGTTTCATGTGGGGAAAATCGAAACCCTTTCTCTGGCGAGAATAATAATAGAGTAAATACTCCTGCAGTTGGTTTCCATGACAGTCTAAGCTCATAGGGAATTGATACAGAGGCGGAAATGGGAATTGAATAGGTTGCCAAATATTTGCTTATTTATAACTACTTGATCGATGGTATTGGCAGAAGTGGAATATCTGCAGCTCCGCAGAGCTGAGCCACACACTTTCCAATATAAACTTGCGCTTGGCCGTGCTCGCAAATAAACAAAGCACATTAATTAGATTACGTTGTGTCAGAGGTGCAGCAAACCGATTCAATTCACGGCCGTAATCGTACGTTGCCCATATTTGTTTACAATTCGTGCATCGATGACGCTGCTAATCCCACACCCACTTTCCTGTACTCATCGGAGCCGTGCAATTGATGAGATGATGCAGCCGGCAAGCAGCAACACATCAAAGCCCAACACGAAATTCAATTGATTTAATAGTTTCTTTGCATATCTGGCGTAAAGGAATTTAGGAATTCACTTCGTGCTGCCTTTTTCCTACCAGGGAGCTATCAAAATAGAGCTTCGATTTAGGAAAAGCAACAACAGATATTTATGGGATATTAGAAAAATAAAGTGAATTTCGCAACTTCACGAAATGCAACAAGTACACGGATTAATTTGATGATTTCCCGAATAAATTGGCAAGCTAAGCAAACTGAAGTGTGCTCAAATGTAGCTGTTAGATTCAAATTACAATAAATATTTCAAATATTTGTTTGTTTATTAACGAAAATATAAGAAACTTTTATGAGGAAATCAGCTGATGCGCATTAAGTCGAAGCTGGCTCTACATACCGTGAGTATTCTCACCTGAGTGCGCTTAACTTTCTTTGACAACGTTATAAATACCATCTGCAAGCGTATCGAAAATGGTAACTGCGATGCGCAACAAATGACGCCGCCGCTTCCTTAAAACGCGCGCTTTGATTACGTTACGGCACGAAACAACAAGCTCCAATACAAACAAACAAGTGCGTATGTGCGTATGTGCGTGCTTGTTTATGTGTTCATGGTCGCTTATACGTATATATGTATGTACATAGGTATGCATGTTGATTTGTCTGTATGTATGTATGTACGCTCATATTTATATTTGTATGGACGTACATATGCACCTATTATTCACATAAATATGGCGACACGCCTAGGCTGCAGCAACAGAACTTACGTGGATATTCAGGATCCTCATATGCTGACGATTCTTCTGCCCCACTAGCCGGACATTCTGGCGGAATCTTGATGTTGTCCGCGGCTATGGAGCCCGCACATTGGGTTAAATTGCCCTCAAAGCCCGCCTTGGAAGGCGGTATATAGACGCCAAAGTAAGCCATGGATGCCAACGCCTGCCACTGGTGTCAGGGATGCTAGTCGAATCCAACATGCAAACATAACAAAAAGATTCATATAAAATGCATTGCAAATATATGTAGATGAGAGCAAGATTCTAGGAGTCGCAAACAAAATGACGTCGAACGCGCGACCACTCACGCCAATGGAGTTTCAGTTTCTGCATCATTGTCTTACCGTTATAAAACACTACAGGATTATTCAGATACAACTTCACATTTAATTTTAAGATATAATATTATTTGATCCACCATGCACACGAAATTCGCGTATAATTGCAACAAATGGATGTGTTTATGCTTGAGTTCGAAATGCAATGCAGTGTCGTGTGGGGATGGCAGAATGTATCGATATGAAAATATCATTCCGGTAGTCGGCACGATTGTCGATAGAGACTCGTTCATCTATTCGATATATTGTAATTTTTGTGATAGCACCACTAACCAGAGGGCATCGTGCATCGTGCAACTATCGACATGAGGGATAACTCATCGATATCTGATAAAAATGATTATCGGCGCACATTTGAATTAATACATACTGCCAGGAACAAAAATTTCGCAATATTTCGCAAAAATACAAACCATATTTTATATTTAGCCATATTAAAATTGGCCTTTGCCGTTAATAATTCAGAATGTCAATCGATCACGCGTTCCACAAGCGATTTATTTAATATTAATATTTATTATGTACCAGAGATATAATTTTTTATATCAAAGCCGATTTAGAAAACATTTAATAATAGGCGTACCAAAATATTTTGGTTAAAAGTAGCCCAGTAACCAACAAGCCATTGGCAACAATTATTTAGAAAGGATCGTTTATACAATTACCATTTCGTAAATTGAGTAATGGACATAATTGTTAAAATTGTGTCTTTACAATTTCGACAAGCAAAATTGACAAAAAGTCTTGTGGCAGTAAACAGTTTATGTGTGTGAATTTTATAGTAGTATGTTTAATTTATTTGTAATACAATAATTTCATATAAAGTTGCACTATATGCTAAACTGGAAGGAATGATTGCGTTTAATTGTTGGACAGACACATATCGAAATTATATAAATATTACATACATATTAATCACGAAACTCGAAAGAAACGAAATAAAGTTATTGGAAAAATACTCAACAATATTAAAATTAGAGTTTCATAAATATTAAAACATAAATATTAAGTTAAGTTCCTATAGTAAACGAGTATATACATATGCATATAAAGAGAGAGAAAGTAAGTCGAACTTTACTGAAATAATTGAGAATACAAATAAACCAGGAATGCTGTCACACATACATACATACCGACACACGTGTATTAATATGTAAATATGTATGGGTACCTAAAGAGAATCCTTCAATATTCAATGTTCAATATTCAATTTGCAGACAGACAGTATCAACAGTTAAAACTATGCAAATAACATTGCGCCCTTAAAGTATATATTATATAGACGTACTAAACATAATTTTGGTAGTTGGCTTAAAACTAGTCGCTCGCTTGGTTGCCTACAAGCCCTTTGAGCTGCACGAATGCCTATCAATTAGTAAATACATACATCTGGCCCGCCCGGGGAGGGCCGCTGCTTAAATGCTACACTGCGCTCCGTGGCGCCTACTTAATGATTATGATGTGTGTTTGCTGTTTGTGAAGGTCAGGATAGGTCAGTATCTGGGCCACAATGGAAGTACTGAACAGATGATGACGCGACGATGACGATGACGCTACCCATGCCGATGCCGATGGCGATGAGGCGAGGCTTCCTGCTTCCACAGCAGACAATCGAAATTAAAGCTTTGTATGTTTGACCGTGTCCGTCCAATAGTTCTGTATTGTCATCGCCTCCAGGGAGTTGAGGAAAGAGTCATTGTCCAGGCTGTACATCTCATCCGAGTTATCCTAAACGGAAAGCAAAAGAGAAGCTCAGTTAGTCGGGCCTATGGTGCACGCTGCCCGCAGGCAATTGGCCAACGAATCCTTACACTTACACGCATCGTGCTATCATCGATGTACACGCTCGAGTCGGGCTCGCTAAGCGCCTGCGGCTTGTTGACGAAGCGCCGACGATATAGCACAATGCCAATGGTGCCCACCGTGCAGCAGATGCCAAAGACCGTGAAGCAAATGGCCGAGATGGCGCCAGCGTCCAGGAAATAGGTGCGCTGCAAGAAGAAGAAAGCAAGAGGAGTGAACAAATGCTCACAGCAGGAGCTCTGGCGATGCTCACTTGTATGGCCAGCGCCTCGGACGATATGTTGCCCTCGTCCGCGGCCTCGTAGCCAGAAATGCTGGGCGCCGCCGATGCGGAGCGGGCGAGAAGGCTCTTCGTGTCGCTGGAGTAGTTGATGTAGCGATTGATGTGCTTGTACTCGGCGGAGAGGACCTTGGATTTGCGCGAACGATGCTCGCTTTCGGCCCGGCGCAGCTCATCCTCCTTGTTGGCGTTCTCCAGCGTGAACGACACGCGCTGCAGCTCATCGGATAGCCACTCGGTGTTGATTTTTGGCGTCGAGGGCGTGGCCGGCACGGCTTGGCCGGTGCTGTTCGTTGGCGGGCTAATTGTTGATGTCGTTGTCGCTGTTGTTGCTGCTGCTGTTGGTTTTGTTGTCGCTGCTGCTAATGAGGATGTTGCTGCAATGGTGGTGCTCACAGCGGCAGCACCACTGGCACGAGAGGCAGCTGCCATGCACGTGGCGTTGCAAGCGGAGCTGCTATTTGTACTGCACGGGACGAACGGTTAGACAAGGCAAATCGGAGCGTGAGTGGTGCGTGGGGCACTTACCTTGTGCTACGGCTGAAATTCGTATAGTTGCTCAGTGGCTCGACGGGCACAGCGACAGCGCCCTTTGGCGCCGACGCAAAGTCTGCCGAGCGCTTGAACTCGAACTGATTGTGGGAGAGCGTCAGCTTAACCGTTGCCTCCTCAACCTCCTTGTCCACATCGTCCATGCCTGCCTCGTCGTTGTCATTGTCATCCACATCCACATCAACATCCACGTCAACATCGCCATCAACATCGTCATCGTCATCGATGGAGTCCGAGAAGGGCGCCTCAATATCGTCGACTGCCTCGGGCTGGCTCTCGACTATGGCGACGGCGGGCGTCACCTTGGGCGCCGCTGTCGTCTTGATGGTCAAGTCCATGACATTGCGCTGTGTGACCGTCGCCCAGGTCTGGCTGGCCGTGGTCTGGTATAGCTTCGTTGTCTGTCGACGGCTGTCAGCATCATGGCTGGCCGCCTCGGTCCGCTCCAGCAGGCGCTCCTCCTGCTGCGTAGTTGACTCTAGGCTAACCTCGTGACTGGGATATGTGTGCACATGTGTGATGCCATTGGGCAGCAGGACCACTGCAAGAGGGAAGCGTTTCAGCACAATACACAGGGCTAGTCGGAGGAACTTACCACTCAGGCAGGTTACCCAGAACCAGTGCGACCACCAGTAGAAAGTCATGATGCGGCACGTGCTGTGGCCTCGGCCCGGCAATGCGGAGCTGCAAAATAAGAGAGGAGGCAGTTCAGCGTGAGCTCTAGTGTTAACAGGCGTCGATCGTATTTAAGAAAATCCAACAACAATCATTGCTCATCCGCCCTGTGAGTCAGCGCAAGCCAGAGAGAGAGAGAGAGAGGGAGAAGTATGGTATATTTGCAGTAGCCACGATGAAGTCATCGAGTCATTGAACAGTCGTGGAAGTGCTTTACATTGTGCTAAAAAAAAAGAAGAAAACAAGTTTCTCTGTGCGGCCCATGACCAGGCCCGATCAGACCCGATCAGGCATTGCCAATTTTGGTGTCGTCCTCCCCCCTCGGCTGTGTACGAAGGTCGACGACTCGCTCTCGGCCCGGCAGATGACACACAGCCAAATGTGTTTTATCCCGTTCTAAATACATCTCTTTATGTCTTTACGTGACGCCCACTCCGAGCTGTAAGCTGGCAAATTAAACTCTTGTCATAAATAGCCGCCTCTTGTACTCCGAAATTAGCATGCCATCTTTGGGGTGCCAGACTCCAACAATAGAAACGTCTTTTCATATGCACACACACACGTATATACATATGTATATATGTATGTATATATTATATTCGTTACGCTCTTTAGCGTCGGACTGTTTGCTTACTTGCTTGTATACCCTGTAACCAAATCTTGTTGACGCGCACAGCATATTTATTATTTTTGTTTCTTTGACTTTTATTTAAATATTTCTGTATTTGTTGGCTAGTTAATCACGTTGTCATTCTCGGTACTTAAATTTGCTGCTTAGAGATCCATTCACATCATAATCTTACTTTAGCCAAGACGTAACAAATGCTCAGTTCGATCACCTTCGAGCACTTCTGATACCCATTGGTGTGCCGTACACGGTATGCCACAGTCTGGGTGACCCCTTTTCGATGCTCCAATTTGATAGAGTGTATGCTTGGCCTAAAAACCATGTACGCACTCCCAATTGTTTGTGTGTGTGTGTGTGCTTTTTCAGTTTTTGGGTTAATGTCTACAGAAACCAGGCCCGCTGAAAATCGCTCCAGCTGCGCGCTGATAAGATAGTAGGGTGCGAGTGTATGGGCGCGCCTGTATCGACAGCCCATCAGCAATGTCAACTTTGACCCACATTGACCTCGTTGGGCTGGTTACAGCCTTTGACGTCACAGGGCCACGGGCCAGGGGACGCTCTTGACATGTGGCCGAGAGCGATTGAGGTGCCATATTACGTATACGCAGCGCGGAACATTAAACATGAAGCCAAATTATGGGCGACAGTTTATGCATAGCACGAGGCGTTAAAGGTCGGCCAGCCAAATTGTTGCTGCCATCATATTCTACAGCTCACAAATTGAATACAATGCCGTAAAGAATAATAACAAATGAAAAAATGAAAAAAGTAAATAAAAAAATAATAACAATTGTTGCCCAAACGGCGAAGTATGTGTATAAACAAACAAACCATAACAAAACAAAGACCGCACACCGTAACGAATGACACCAAACGAGCAGAGAGACAACACACAGCAAACAGCAGACAACCAGACAAGAGACGTGCTTGTTGGAGGAGCAACTGGCGTTAAGGTGAAGCCGCACCAGAAGCGCAAAAGCGGAACGCGCATGAGCAACGCCCCTAGAAAGAGCAGCAGCTGGAGCAGCAATTTCAAGAAGGCCTTATGTAAATTGAATGCGTTTGTTTTCTTTTGTCTACTGCTTTGATCAACATCATCATCATCAACATCATCATCATCATCATCATATATAGTATTCTCAGATATACAAATGGGGGCTCCAAGTGTCGACTCTATGCGACTGTCAACTTTTCGTGAAGTGCAAAAATTAATTATACTTTAATTTATATTTATAGTTTATTATTTACAATTTGTACATCATACATCACATGTACAGTTAGGCTCATGCAAATAGCAGTGCTGCACTCGGCAAAACATAAATCAAACGAGACGCTGCTTTTCCCGGTGGAAAGATGAAAAGATGCCCACTTTTTACTCCGAGTGCAAAGAACTACGAAAAAATCCCGTTACTTTCGGTCAGAGTTAATTTGTTTCTGATGATTTTTGCGAAATACACCGAAAATACCCCCTTCACAAAAATAGTATTAGTTACTATGCGATGGTCTATAAACATATATAATATACATAGAAATAAGTATTGATGTACAAATATACGTACATATATATATATTTAATATACATATTCCATATGACATTTATGGTCTAATAAATTATATTCCTATCAGCATTATTGTATCAAAGTAGTTCCGATTGCCGTGTTTCGACACAATATATTTGTATACATGTACACACACACATATATACCTATAATGCTAACGTGGTGTGTGGAGATAAATATCAATTTCATGCACCTTTGCTCACCTTTTTCAGGTCAACTCAATTATCGGATATACTAGATTTCAAGTTTAATTACCGTCGTTTATTAGAATGCTATTAGCGTTCTTTAATGAAAGCTTTTATCAAGAGACATATAAAAAAAAAGAAAACATACTGAACTGAACGTGAATATAATATATTTTGCATTCTCCGTGCTTGTCAACAAGTTTGGTATGCTAAATTGAATAGAAAGGATTATTAATATAATAACATGTTGAGCTAGGCGACAGCCTGCATCTATCTGGAAGCATCTCTTGTGCATTTCACTTGCATGCATATAAAGATTCTGTTCTGCTCAAGCGACAACTATATAACCAATGCCAAGGAGACAAAACAACAGACTCGAGTCTTAGGATTATTAGAATATTCCTGTTAAGAATGTATATATAAATAAAAGGAGTTGCTCCTTGCTTAGATTACTATAGCTGACTCTTTAGAGTGCAGCAGGGATCACTCTCGATCGTCTGGTTCTTCGATTCACTCCAACTATTCCCCCAGCAAAGGTAAGATAGTCTGAGAAGGAATGGACTCTACAATCTTTAGATTAGCATAGATCGCTATTCTTAACGATTAAATTCCAGTTTATGCAAGTCCAAATAGCAACCGAATCAATACTCATTATGCAGTTACACAACATAAATAGCTCATGGCAAATATTGTTCTGCAATAACAATGAAATCGCGGTTTGAATAGGACCACAGCAAAGGTAGCCAATTATTGCATCTAATTGCAAACAACGGGCACTTCAAATGGACTCAAGGCCGAGCGGACAGGTCAGTTGAAGCGGCTAAGACCAGTGGAAGCCATTGCAAAATCTCATTTGGGGCTCTTTGGGCCCTTGGGGCGGGATGACAAGGCAAGAAAGCAAAACAGCTAAGGCAAAGGCAAAGGCAAAGGCAAAAGCAAAAGCAAAAGCGAATCAGATGCACTTTCATATGCGAAAGTAAACTACAAACGAAAACTGGCACAAGTGCAGCTCAGAAACTGTCTATACCTGCGTGTGTTTGTGTATGTGTGTGTGAGTGTCGGTAACTGCAATTAAGAGAGGGAAAAAACAAGTGCAACCTTCAAGAAACAACAATGCAAATTGAAAAGCCGTCTGGCCAAATGGCAACAATTAAATGCGGCTTGGTATACATATTATGCAAATGCCAAAATCAGGCATAGCACATAGCGCAAGGGGCGTGGCACACACACACACACATATATACATATATACACCTGCACTGAGGCACAGCAATAATGCGGCTAGCAATGTCGTGCCTCAGGCCAACAACAAAACAAAAACAATGGGAAAGTTCACGCTCACTTTCTAATGTCAGCAGCGGCGCACGCGATGTCACTGGAAGAAAAGTATCTCAAAGGGTGCGCGAGGGGGAGGGTACGGGAGTGGGGGGAAGACTTCTCCTAGCAGCATAGTTTACCACTTTGAGGGTTGCTTAACTATTTACTTGAGTTATGTGTGCGAGTATTTATTAGCTTAGAACTTGGACGCAACTCAAGTGCAAAAGGAACAACTGGAAATGTCTGATTGCAAGACTCTGAGCTCTACGCACTGCAAGCTCTTTGGGGTTAAGGCGCAAATTGCGAAAACTTCCCTTTGGATTGAGCTGACAGAGTTGTGGAAATTCCATTCGATTTGTTTGTTGTGCATTAAATTTCTCGTCAACTCTGTAAACTTCACTTATAGAATGAATCTTTCTATAAAGTTAAAGTCAGGTGATATTACAGAACCTCTGCTCTTGTTGGGATATCCTCGTCTTAACCCCAACTCCCCAACTTAATCTCCAATATGCATAGCGACGAGACAACTTCTGTGCATAGTAGGCTGGGGTTTCTGGGTTTGGTTGGGTTAGGGCCCTTTTTTGAAAGCTAATGTATATTCAAGCACAACAGACACAAGCTAACACGTGTAGCAGACATTTTACAAAATCTACTTTTTTATTGGCATTCGTGGTACTCTCGATATTTGGAAAACGAATCGATTTCTCGATGGAATTTCATGAGATTGCCAAGTCGTCGGGCGGCAGCTCGAGTGCCAGCAGCAGCAAGAAGGAGCACGATGCGGCCTTTCGCAAGCTGCGCCAGCTGATCTGCAAGCTACCTATGTCCGATCAGGTAGTGCTCTACCGCGACCACCAGGAGGTGCAGCACGTCTGCGACAGCGTCTGGCGCAGCGCACACAAGCGCCTGGACTTCCGGCAGCTGGAGCAGGAGCTGAGCGGCGAGCCGCTGTGCTACTTCCTCAACAACATGATGGACCACTTTCGGTATGTGTACTTCACAGCCGATCGCCTTCAGGACAATCTCAATGTGCTGGAGCGAGCCGGTGTCAAGGCACTGAACAGTGTGCAGCACTGCGAGCTGCTGCTCAGCCAGCAGGCGGTGCCGAAGCTAAAGACCAAGCGGCAGCGGGATCCGGGAGCCGGAGATGCCGGACTCGGGCGTGTCGTCGGCATCGCTGCGGTCCTCGGCGGCTCGATGATGCCACAGTGGCCGCTGCATGCCTTGCCCAAAATGCTGCGCAACCTGCGCCGGCTCAAGGTGTACTGCGAGGTGCAGGTGCATTTCATAGAGCAGTTCCAGCAGCTGGAGCTGCTGGTACTCCATGGCGATGTGGCCCAGTCGGCCCTCACGGGCATCTTAGAGCGCTGCAAGCAGCTGAAGCGGCTGTTCATAAAGTGCAAGAATCCACCATCCTCTCTGCAGGGCATCACCTCCGGCCACTGTCTGCAGGACCTCTCGCTGCCCTTGCTGCTGTTCCTGGAGTCGCGCGAGGAGGTCTTGGCACTGCCCTCACTGCACTTGCTGGAGCTGACCTACGGCGAGCAGAAACCCGAGATGGCCATTGAGTGCATGCGGCACGTGCTGGACGCCAAGGCCGACACCATTGAGATTGTCCAAATGAACTGCGCTACCTTCGAGGGAACGTACTGGCTGCGCGATACTGGCCTGGGCAGTTGCACCCATCTGCAGGGACTCGTGCTGAACAACTGCCGGTTCTACGATCGCGAGATACTTGATCTGAACATGCCACGCGTTGAGAACTACTTGGTACTGAGTGGCTGTCCAGATCTCAAGGAGTACCAGCTGCTCGATGTGATCAAGAAGTGTCCGAAGCTCTCGGAGCTCTACCTAATCGACTGTCCACTGCTCACCGGCAAGGTGCTGAACGGCATCTACCGCATACGCAGCAGCGAGAAACTTGACTATCCGATTAGCATTATTCTTAGCCGCTGCGACTCCATAAGCAAAGAGTATCAGGATTCGGTGGGTAGAGAAGACAAAGAAGACATTTGTGCATTTGATATCTACTTATATATCCTAACCCATTTCTTGATTTCAGTACGCCGAATATTGGTTCTTCAAGCTGCAAGTGCTCAAGCTGGATCGCCTGCTTGAGGAGAATCGACCGATCGAAGATATGCAGATATTCTTTTACAAGAGCCCGGCCACTGAATGAATTGCTACACTTATATATATAATCCTAAAATGGGACCCCAATTATAGTTGAAGTGATCCCCAAAAAGCCTACGAAAAAAATGATTGGAGAAAGTTGATCTGAACAGTTCATTCGTCTCGATTATTACTGTTAACGGTTGCTATCGACAGTTAGTCTTTGAAGTGTACTGATTTCCTGTTCAACTAAAGTACTTTAAAATAAAGTATACCAAAAAAATACACACATATTTAATGTGTCTGTCGCACACAATTTAGCCGACTCGCGGCCAGAACCAGCCCAACCCAACATAAATTCCACCTCAATGTCAAGTAATTATTATTGTTTTTAGTTTCCTATATTTACACTATATTTACACTATTTACATATAGCTCTTACTTCGCGTGTCTTCCCAAAGCAAGATAAGCAATAACAATAACAATTAACTCATTTCATTTCATACGCTACTGCCACTTGGTTTTTGCATTTCCCAGCCAGATTTCTACATTTGTGGCGAGGCGTCAGCTCTGGGTGGGTGTACTGCTCTTGTGGGTATGTGATTTAACATTTCACTTAAATAACAAACAACTCCGTTTTACTGCAAGCAAATCGAAAGTGTCGGGCCCCGGAATGCGGGCCTGAGAGCAAAGCGAAATTTATGTCGACGGATTTCACTTGGGCAAAACTAAAAGGGCCAGACCAACAAAAGGAACGTCCACATCTTTGATGAACTGAATTAGCAATAGGGTTTTCAGAAGCCCTTTAATGTAATTCCCGCTCAAAGCGAAGTTGGTTTTAGTTTGAACTTAATTTGCAAATATCGGTATATTCGAGCTGTAAATTCTTCTTCTCTTAAGTTTGCTTTAGTATTTTATTTTCTTGAATACTAGAAAAGAGAAAAGCTATACAAACATCCTAGACATATGATAATATTGTGTTGGAATAATGCCAACAATATTTTGAATTGCATATCGAACAATGGGTTTTTAGAAGTCATTTCGTTTACTGAGATGTAGATGTAGATACCAATTATGATTTATGAGAGTGCTCAAGGGACTCCAGTAAAGTTGTGGGAAAGTCAGAATGTTAAAAGGAATAAAAAAGGATATTTGCGATTAATAATAATAGAGTAAATTCTAATAAATGAAAAGGATTTCAGACAAATAAATCAATTCAGTTTTTTAGAAATGCACATATCTATCTATTTTCCCTAAACTCTCTTTAACTATAACAATACTTATACAATAATAACACATTTCCAATAGAATCTTTAGCTGTCATAGACAAGTTGATGAAGACGTATATTGATAGCTGTCATCCCAGCCAAGGATATGCAAATATACATACATTTCATGGAAATAAGGTAGCTTCGTCTCTTCGCTTTGGTCAAAGTAGAAGCAAAACCAATTTCAACGGCCATAAAGAGCGGCATTGTTGATGAGACGGGGCTTTGATATATTGAACTACCTCATCGAAGCCGCCCATTTTTGGTCAATTCTATTTCGGTGGCAGCTATAAATACAGCAAGACGCCCGCTTTGGCTCAGCAGTTACCTGAATTTGGCAATGACATCGCTTGGGCTTTCTTTGTGTTTGCTTTCGGCCAAGTATTCGCCGGCCGTGGAGACCAATCGAGTTGTCTGTGCCGTTGGCCAAGGCATTGTATTCGCAGTATTTGGTAATATTAGAAAACGAAACTTTTGGTGCCGAGCAAATGACACTGAGTTGTACTTCTTTGTACTTCTTTCACTTTTTTTCTGGCTTTGTGTTGGCATTTTCTTTATTGACGAATTGCGAAAGTGAAATTGAATGGGAAGTGATGAAACGGGGTGCCTCAATTGAAGGAACCAAATGGTATTCAATAAAATACATATAAGGGATTCCGCGAAGGTGTCTATCTATTTCCTATCACTTTACACAAATATTAATTGAATAGAAAGCTCATGAAACTCTTCTGATACCCTTCAGAGCCCATTGACAATGGAAATGCAAATGGGAATATTGGTTTAGTGGAAATGTGACATGACTGAATCCATATTACTATATATGTATGTATTTATTCTCAGTCTATATAATCGCATTCCTTCCGCCTGTCTATCTATCCGGGAACTCCGTATCAGGGAACTCGTAATCTACAAAAACTGAATACGAATAGCTTATATATATTATATCCATAAAGAGACCATTTTCTTTTCGATAAATTATCATTACCGATAGAAATCGATAATTTGAGTTGTGTTTTTTAAGCGTAGCTTGAGTAGAGGTAAGTAAACTTTCAGTTTACACACCCACATTTTTGTATTTCTTGTATTCTTTTGCCTTGCCCACTCTCTCCTTTCCTTACAATACAACGAATACGATCTAAATAAACGTATTTAAAGTACAACAAAAATGTTCTTTGGCAAGTACCTATATATCTAATTTATAAAGATCACATCTAGCATGAGAAATGTGAAAAAATAATGAAGAGTTCAGAGTATGTTGTAGATGGAAACCCCGGCTCGAGCACTTCTATTCGCTTGTGCATTTCAGCCTGAATTTGGGGTTTCGCATTTTTATTAAGTTTAACTCGGAAACAAATACAGTTAGAGAAGTGGAAAAGTATTCAACTATACAAAACGGATATGCGTATCTTGCTCTCTTGATGATCATCTTCTTGTCGAACTACTACGTATTTAATTTTCAGTTGGCTGATCGCCCTGCATCTTCAATTTAAGCCAATCCTCAAGGAACATAGCCTTGTAATTTCCATTCTCATCAAGAGCCATAATTGTGGAGCCCACATTCATATTGGCAGTGGGTTTTTGTACAGCGGGCGAGGCGCGCTTGTTGTCGGCAGTCGGGGCAGCGCGCTGCACCTGCGGAACGCACTGCACCTGGGGAACGCGCTGCTCCTGTAGGATGCGCTGCTCCTGTAGGATGTGTTGCGCCTGAGGGACGCGTGGCGCCTGGGGTACGCGTGGCACCTGGGATACGCGTGGTACTTGGGGTACGCGTGGTACTTGGGGTACGCGAGGCGTCTGTGGGGCGCATGGCATCTGAGGGACGCGTTGCATTTGGGGGTCGCATGGAGCCTCGAAGTGGTACTCGCGTGGTACCTGGGAGACGCGTGTAGCCTGGGAGACGCGTGTAGCCTGGGGGACGCGTGTAGTCTGGGGGGCGCGTGGAGCCTGGGGGACGCGTGGAGTCTGGGGGACGCGTGGAGCCTGGGGGACGCGTGTAGTCTGGGGAACGCGTGGAGCCTGGGGGGCGCGTGGAGCCTGGGGGACGCGTGGAGTCTGGGGGACGCGTGGAGTCTGGGGGACGCGCGGCTTACGGCTGTACATTCCCTTGGGGCAGCCGTTTATCGGTGGCTCGACGTAGTGGAATCTCATGGTGCCGTAAGGCGGTGTTTCCGGCGTGGACAGCAAACCCTTTCCGGACTTTTGCATGCGAGCGTGCTCCTCTTGCAAATCCCTCACGATGGGCATCAGGGCTTCCGTCAGCGGTACGTCCTCCCGCCTGATGGCGGCCTGGATGCGCAGCTGTTGCTCCGCGGTTAGCATATAGTTGGGAGATATTTCCGCATCCAAAACCACGCGGCCGGGCACGTCGGACTTGCGGTCGTCCTCTGCCAAGCTCATAATGCTGAAGCTTTGGAAGCAGGCGTTCATGGTGCTGCGCTGGAGTGGTGCTGCCGGCGCGGTGCCCAGTGGCAGCACCTCAACGGTCTCGATTTTCTCTGTGTTTATTTGGTTGTTCTTGTCCTTTGGTATGACCTGAATGGAGGTGCTAGTTCCTTTGCCGTGAGCAGACTGATAGCTCTCTGGGCGCCTAAAGAAATCCATGGCATTTATCAGGGACGGCATGTCCGGCGTGCTGTGCTGCATGCCCGGCGGCAAGCTCACCGGCATATTCATGGTGAGGTGCGTCACCCCCGGTATGGCACGCAAGTCGAGGGGCGGGTCCGCTGGCTGGGGCACCACCGGTCCAGTGTACATCATCTCGATTGTGGTGCCGTGCTCGTGCACTCGATTGCTGAGTGTGCACCACTGGTTCGGAGTGCCCGGCAATGGGCCCTTGGATGCGGAGGATTAGGAGACAGTGTGTTATGGGCCGGCGCTATAAGATGATGCTGCTGCTGCTTACCTGGCGCTGTTCATTATATTCATTCTTATGATTGTCTGACTGGAACTGTTGCTGCTGCTGTTGTTGCGGCGACTCTTGATTTTGTTGATTCTGCTCATTCTCCTGCGGCTGCTGCGGACGCTGCTCTATTTGCGCCTGCTGCTGATCCTGTGGTTGCTCCTGCGGAGGCTGTCCTATCTGCGCCTGCTCCTGCTGCTCCGACAGCTCCTGCTGCACCTGCTCCTGCATTTCTTCCGACATAGGCTTAGGTTCAAAAAGTTTTGGGGATTCGCCGTGGCCGCGTGGAGTCTCAAGCAGCGGAGGCCGAGATGGTGTCACGTTCTTGTCAATTTTGCCAAATTCCTGATCTGCCGTCACATTCTGTTGGGCAGCGCTGCCAGCGTTATCGTCGCTGGCCCCAATTGGTTCCGCTGCGCCCTTGCCGGCGTTCAACATGTTTGCTTCACTTTTTATCAATTTTCAATTTTACAAAAAAAGTTTTCAGCTGCAATCACTCAGAGCTGTCAATACACACACACAATAAGCTGGAAAAATGTTTGACAGCTCCAGCATAAGTCAAGGCATGCTGTTAGCTCAACATGGAGCAGAAGAAGAAGACACTGACATTTGCCGATGCTAACATTCTTAGCCAACTAGAGAGGAGTACAGGTATATCGTTTTTCTTAAAAATACTTTCTGCATATACATATTTACAAGGAAGAGGCAAATGAGCTCAAGGGCGGGGCTTCTTATGTTGGTCTTGGGCAGCAACAGAAATTTAGTCAGTAATGTTATTATTTGTCCGGCTCGAGAATCATCGTTCACTTCTTTAAGCTTTAAAGGGCATTTGCTATTCGCTCACAGCGGATGATGATTGTCTGATTGCTATTTCCGAAACTGTGAGAATCTGCATATTTGCAACTTTTATGCAATTGCAGTCGACTATTTTTTCAATTTTTTGCTGTGTCAGCCAACAATGGCAGAGGTCTGAATAGGCGTCGACTCATTTTGCAATGCAACGCATTTGTGTGTGTGTGTGTGTTTGCATTTTCAGTAACGTCTTTTCCTACTGTTATTGTTTTGGTTATGATTGTGGGGCTGGCCATTGTGTGGCGTCTGAAGACTTGCAAACTTGCGGATGTGCCACACCTCCAGCACATTGGTGGCATGCATTTGTATGCATATGTATATATGTATGCGTATGTGAGAGTGTGAGTTTACTTACAATTTGACTCCTGCGGGGCCTCAGTACTTGATTGCCGCTGCCGCTGCTGCTGCTGCTGCTTTGCTCCGAATTGATCTTCCGCTCCAATCTTCAACTGAAATGGCACAAAATGCGGTCTACATAAGTACGAATATTTGCAATCAGCAATGTTTGGGTTGGTTATAAAACAGTTTTGATCTCCGCTCCGCTGTTGACTTGGCCACACTCGGCTAAGCCGGCACTCGAGTGGAGCAGCGTGGCTTGGGCTGAAGCTGAAGCTGAGACTGGGACTGGGACAGAGGCTCAGTTTCCCCAATGCGAAATAATTATATGTAGTTTAATAGTTTTTGAGTAATTCTGAACTAGTGCGTGGCGCACTCGAGTTTATCATTGCCAAGCGTCCAAACCTGAGCAGTTATTGAGGAGAGAAAATAGTGTAAACCCCATTTCTCACTGCATTGCAAAGCCAAGCGAATAACGCGTAGCGCGCCGTATACTTAATTATGCATAGGCCGCATTGACGGCCATAAAGTGCAGAGCGATGATGGACACAGCTGCATTACATATGGCTCACAGGCATTTATATAGACCAAAGTTGGAAAAGCGTTGCAAAAGAAAGCTGATCTCATGAGTCGTATGAGCTCATTTAGGTCGTTCTTCACTCAAGTATATCCAGCCCAATATCTTGCTTATGCTACAATGGGCAGACATAACAGTCAGAGAGAGCATACTAGGCCTAAACTAAACTAGTAAATACCTCACACAAATTCCCGTTCCACAATCATCTCACTTACACTCATCAATCCTCCATGCATGCCAAACCCAGTCTCTGCGCATCCTATTCTAAAGGTGTCGAAATCAGGAATCGCCTTAACAGCCAAATGACAAAGTGCTCTCGAGTCTCTATCTATCCGGACTCGTGCTTCTCGGCCTTGAAACCCACTCAAGCTGACTAAAACTGTTGAAGCCCCTTGAAATCTTGCAGGACGGTCGGTGAATGGCTGCAATACAACTCTTTATATTCATACCGAAAGCGAAATGGGTATATGGGTTGTATGCAATGTCTGTCCAGCTGTCCGTCCATTCATATCCGTATGAATACAAACTACTTCGATGCTACTGAGAATCATGCCTCATCACATTAGAAACTACATTTTCGGCACTTCAGAGAACTGAGATCGGAAAAAATGATTGTCTTATAATTATTACAGAGCTGTTCTATTATTTGCCAAAATTCATATACCAATTGGGGGCGTGACAAATTATATAATATTATAAAATATTTATGTCTTGCAATGATGTAACCATGAATGAGTATACTGCAGTCGGTACAGCTCGACTGTAAGCTCTATCATAATAAAGTAATAAACAAGAAAAATCTAGGAGTCTCATTACGTAAGACCCGCTCCAAACCATACTGGTGTCAATATTAAATAGATGATAAATCTTTTATGGACAGATATATAGATAGATAGATGTTCTAGCCATACATACATTCCATTTGATTTATAATCTGAGTAAGGCAAACAGCTCAAGCAACTGTTACCAGGCGCTACTTGTGTATATCTAATCTAATATCTGATTCATATTCGTGCAATTTAAATGCAAGCGCTTAACTGGTTTACGTTTATGGACATGATTGGATTTGCATGCCAAGCGCTCTGAGCTGCTGCTGGTAGCCAAGTGTATTTGAGCTGAAATTAAACCGCCATTTGGGCGGGTGTGCATCAGCGGAGAGTTTAAGTCTAAAACGCAATTCCCAAATGGGTTGGGCAACAATAATGCTACGGTGAGAACATGACTTTGCCGCGCCCCGAACAAAACGTAAACCGACTCAAAATAAATATATATACACATATATATATATGTATATGTATATGTATATGTGTGTGTGTGTGTGTATTTAAGTGTGTTTAAACACATTTTATTCACATATATGACAAAGGCCGGACGACTTTTTTTGGTCAGTTCAAACTGTTGGGAAAGTAAAACACGCACACACACATCGCTCGCTCAGGTTGTCCGAATTTGGATGCGATTCTCACAAACAGCGCCGCAACATGCAAATCTAATTTCCGCACAGTGTCAGGCAGAAGTCAACGCACGTCAAAGCATTAAGTGACTCCTAATTGAATTTGCATAATTTATACACCATATTTTAGACCTATAGACGGAATTAGTCTTTTTAAATATTTACATAATGAATACGTAAATTGAGAATATTTGTAAGCTTTAGTGAATTTTGCAGATGACTTTTAATAATTTACATATATATTTAAAATATTATTTTACGAAATTAATCGTGATGTAAAAAACAGATATTTAGCATTTATTCTATAATGTTGTAAGACTTGCCCAACAATGACTCACTAATAATAATTACACACATACGAAAAATGTATCAATTCTATGTATTTATATATATTTGAAGAAACCCCAATGCCACTGCAGTCTGCAGACTTTTGCCCGCAACTGTAGCTTTCAGCTACACACTCATGAATACGAAGAAGCCCATCTGTGTTCGTGTTGCGTGCTTAGAATTAATAGATGGAATACACCCGCAACGTCAGCGCCGCCATTCAATGGGGTCGCCTAATTGACGGTCCGTTGATTAAACCGACTGGCTGACACACTTTTGCAATGCGGCGTTGATAAGCCGATATCAGGTAAGCCGCAGCCAGAGGAGGTGGGGGCGCCGAGGCAGGTGAAAGAGTGGCATGCTGAGCGCACGTCCGCCGCGGCTTGTGGCAGCACTTAGTGGCAAGAGGCTGCTAAGAGAGAGACTACTTAAGAGACTCGTCAAACGCCCAAACATCAGTCAGGTTGAGCGCCGCCAAATGGAGTCATTAAGGCTACTCAAATGTCATTACCACTTAATTGTTTTGCATCGTTCGCGGCTGGCGAGTGATTTGCAGAGTTTGCGTTCATTCAACTTCCACCAGCAGCAGCAGCAACAACAACAACAACCACAACAATTCAGCTGATTGTTTACCATCGGCATAGGCGGCACGCTAATGAAGCCTGCGCATCCGAATTGCCAATATCCGAACAGGCAGCAAGCAGGCGAGTTCCAATGCACAAACACAAAAAGCTCAAGCCCAACAGCACGAAACGCAAATTGTTAAATAAGCATGTGCAAATGATAATGATGGTGATGATGATGATGATGATTATGATTATGATGATGTTGATGGTGACGAGTTGGACTTGGACAACAAAAAACGACATCGTCGACGACTTCCACATTTGCCAAACATTTTTAATAACACTAATTAAGTGCTTAAGCCCAGGCAATGACAATAAATTATGCAATGCGCTTGCAAATCCAACAGAAAACAAAACAAAACAAAAACAAAGAAAAACAAAAAACAGAAAACAGAAAAAAGAAACACACGCCCAACCCTAGCCCAGTTAGAATAATGCCAGTCAAATGTGCACGATTATGGAATGCCTATGCCCTCGGGGCATTTACAAATGTACGTGCCACTGGACGTGTAACAGTGTTGCATAACAGTGTTGTATAATCCCATTTTCAAAAGAATTCGCTTACGCATTGTCGCTGCTTTTCATTGAAATTATGAGCCTGCCATTACAAGTATGTTAAACAACATCGTTTGCAACACTGAAATTTGTACAGAAAATGAACTAAATATTTTGTGACACTATTTCATTTGCGAAACTATAATTGCAATTGCAGTGCTTGTTAAACAACACTGTTTGACAGTGTTTCTTAGCAATAAATAATGAGCTGAAAATGAACTCAAAACCCCAAATCCCCCACCATATCCAAGAGTCGAGTTTGTTTTTAGTACAAATTATTGCAAATCGTATAGCACTGCTCAACACTGAAATGCGCAGACATAATTGCTAGGCATTGCGACTTCAGCTGGAATGAATATTAAAATAATTCTTTGACACTGATCTATTACAAACACCTTTTCATATTTGTGTATGCACCAAGAATTTAATTAGTATTATTTAAAACTAGATGAAATGCCCCAATTTTAATATACTTTGACATGCATGTGCATACATACACACACACTTATTCAAAAACTTATACAGTCATAGACTCACATATTCATACAGATTCATATATACATACAATCACACATACATACATACATATATTGATATATTCATATATTCAAAACAATCATTACATACATAGCCGTACATACATACAGGCATGCATACATATACATATTGATCCATTCATACATTCATTTATTCTCACATTAAAAAATTCGTACATTCATCCATTCATACATGTTTACTTACATACATATATATGTATATTCATACATATTTACATACTTTCATATATTCACACATTCATACATCCATACATACATGCATACATACATGTATTTGTACATTTATTCATATATGTAAACATTCATTTATACATATGTACATTCAAATATATATTCATACATATGTGCATACATCATACATTCATACATGCATATGCATGTAAATATGTATGTATGTATGTACAATAGTTCAGTTTTACCGCTACCGCTGCTTTTTGGCCGTCGTGATTACATGACCTGGCGCTCAGCTTGCGCATAGAGCACGTAGAGCGCCAGAACAAAGCCATTGACGTCATAGCCGGTCAGCAGTCAGCAGTCAGCAGTTAGCAGTCAGCAGTCGCTAGTAAGCTAAGCATGAGATTGAAGGTTAGCCAGCTACGCCATGGCTGGCAGTGAGTTAAAGCTTGAAGTTGGTTTTAAAGCGGGAGCTGCTGTTGTTGCTGTTGTTGCCTTTGTTGTGGTTGCTTGTTGTTTGCTTGAGGGCAGACACTGGCGCCAGCCGCGTATCATGAGAATCAAGTCGGTTCGCAAGGTGCCTGCATGGGCATCGGCCACACAGCGAACAACTGCAGGCAGCTGCGACTTTCATTTGCTCAAGCTCACTGACTTGGCGTGGCATCCATCTCGCTCGATGTTATTGATTTGCACGCAAGCCAAATGGCAATCGGAGATACATATGCCCAGATATAGCCGCGGCCAGCAGCAGCTGGTCACGTTATGCAAAAGTGTTCAGCTAATTGGACACGCCGGCCCATTCATTCATTCACCTGGGCATCTGAGATAGTCTCCCTTCGCGGCGCCTCCGAGGTTTGCACA